TCTCTCAGATTGTCAGGTTTTCCTGGCATCCTCTTCCATGCAGATGAGGTGTTGGTATATCGCAGAGATAAAAATGAACATGATGAGTGACTACACACAGTTTTGAGATGCTTTCAAGAAGCCAGACTCACTCTGAATAAGAAATGTGAATCTGGAAAGGAGCAGATTATGTTTATAGGACACATAATTAGCAAACAGGGAATTCAACCAGATTCAGACAAACTGAAAGCATTAATTGCCTTACCCAAACCACAAAACATTTCTGGTGTAAAAAGGTTTCTGGGCATGACAAACCATTTTGGGAAATTCTTACCAAATTTATTCATGTAACAAAACTCTTAAGGGATTTCCCTAATGGTCACAATTTGCGGATCTGGGTGAACACACAACAAAATGCATTTAATAAAATAAAAGAACTACTGATCTGTCCACCTGTTTTGGCACACTACTCTAAACTACCCATCAACAGTAGCAGTTGATGCATCGTCATATGGTTTAGGAGCAGAACTCAAACAAAAGCAGCCAGAAGGAGACCAGAGACTTGTTGCATTTATATCAAGGAGCCTCTCAGAAACTGAACAGCGGTATGCCCAAGTGAAAAAGGAAGCTCTACCAGACACTTGGGTCTGTGAACAGCTCAGTGCATATCTGTTCAGCTTGGATTTGAACCTAGAAACACACCATAAGCCCTTAGTGGATTCAAAACCACTGGATGATCTTCCACCTAAGATTCAAAGATTTCAACTACAGCTGATGCAATTTTCTTTAAACGTTGATCATGTACTAGGGAAAGTTCTCATAACAGTAGACACTCTATCTAGAACCCCAATTAAGCAGCCACCAAATGAAAAGGAAAAGACTTTAGAGAAAGTCGTCAAAGTCTACATTGACTTTGTTCTGGCAACAAATCCAGCATTTGTCAGCTGACTTCAGCTAATTAGAGATGAACAACTTAATGATAAGACTTGCCAGAAATTTACTTAACTCTGCCAAAGAGGGTGGGCTCAGAGTCAACTTCCAACAGACCTACTGTTGTATTGGCAGGAATGTAATGACCTGGTTGGGGCTGATGGCCTGCTTCTGAAAGGATGGAACAATTTTATCCCTACAGTACTACAGAAAGAGATTCTCTCCAAAATCCATACAGGACACCAAGAATAAACAAGTGCAGAGCATGAACACAACAGTCCGGGTGGTGACCCAGTCTGAATGGGCAAATTCAGACTTTAGTAGAGTGCTGTGGGGTATGAAACAAGGGGCGGAGGGCAATCTCCAGAGCTATTACTCTCTACAAAACTACCTGACAGAGCTTGACAGTGGGTAGCAACATATTTGCTTCTCTGAAAAGGACACACATTATTGTAGTTGATTACTTTTCTGAGTATATTGACTTGGCTATACTTACTTAGACTTCCTCAGTACAAGACAGCCAGAGACTGAAGTGAATATTTGAAAAACATGGAGTTCCTGAAGTCTCCATATCAAAGAATAGGTGTCAATTTATCCCTGAAATATGCCTACCATTCGCACAGGACTTTGATTTTTAATATTTTACTAGTAGTCCACATTTCCTCCAGAGCAATGGTGAGGTGGAGAGAGCAGTGCAGATTTTAAAAAGACCTGTATAAAAATAGTGGACCTGTATAAAGCATTTATGGCCTAGCAGTCAACATCACTTGTGTCTGGTCTATTCCCAGCAAAACCTTTGCTGCGAAGACCACTAAGGATGGCTGTACCTATGGTACTAATATGCTTAAATCTAAATAGCCCAACCTGAAGGAATTTTGAAAATGGGATTCTGAAATAAAAATTAAGCAGGAACAAAACTTCAGTGATTGGCACAGAACAAAAGCATTACCTGAACTGAGACCAGGGAGCAACGGTTGGCTTAAAAGTTTCCAGAAATTTGGAACTGTTCAGAACCAGGCAGACCACTCCCAGATCCTACCTAGTGGAGACTCCAAAAGGACTTCTCTGAAAGAATCTGGTTCATCTTAAATATTTCCTAACACAACAAGGAGCGGATCTGGGACCTGCAGGTACTCTGTCACGAAGTGAGCCCTCCTTCCCCCAGAGAACTGCACACACAAACTCAGCGAAAGTGAGACCATGGTCTGGAAGATTGATCAGACCCCCTCAAAGGCTTGATCTTTTGAATATTGCTCTGGACTATGTAAATGGGGTTGGCAAAGGGACATAGTAGTGTAAATAGTTTTGAGGAATTGGAAGTTTCTTTTGAATTGTATGTATAGACACTGATTTATGATTTAAGTTTCAATTTATTATAAAGAAAGGAAGATGTGCAGTAGTTGTAGAATTCCTGGTCTTCTACACATACCAATCAGTAACAGTATATGTTGCATTATGGAGCTTAATAAATGAGGGAACTTCCAGTTCAGGGAATTCTATAGTTGCTACTTAAAGCATGCCTCTTCGTGTTTGTCTTCACACTACAGTGTGTGTAGCTAAAAAGCAGCATAGGGAGGCTGTCCCTGCTCATTTGTAGCTCAGGATTTGGGAATTATAAACAGTTTCCTGCAAATGTCTGGACTCTATTTGTTTAAAGAGCCCTGCACGCTTCATAGGATGATAAATTCCATCCCATGGAGGAGGGTATTTGAAGAAAAGTCCACAAAGGAAATGGACTAGATTAATAACAAATTTCTTTTTGGAGAGGGCTTCTGCTTGGACAGCCCTTTCCATGAATCACTTTAAGCAGCCTATGCAATGTATGCCCAAAATCAGCTCAATTACTACGCAGAAGAAACCAGTTTAGGAAATGGTAGGTCTTTAAGCTCCAACAGAGGTTTGGAGGACCACCCCTGAGGGAAGCAGAAACAGATCAGGCACATGTTGATTTTTAACAGATAAAACAGGTCTAAGCTACAGTTTTGTCCAGTTATGTGTGTTGCTTCTATGAGCTATAGCCCCAGACTAACCCATCTGGCAATCTGCAGGTATATACTTGAGTCATTCCCGCTTGATGTTGGATAAAGAGTGAAGTGCCATCAGGCTGATGGAGGGGGGATGAGAGAGTAAATCGTGATGCAGATCCCTAAAGCCTGGAGTTATGCCAGAGAGGAAAATGTAGACTGGTTAATCAGTTTGTTAAATTGAATCCAGCCACTTAGCAGAGCCCTTAGGAATTACAAAGATTTCTGACATATTATTTTGAGGCAAAGACACTGCTGAAGCATTTTTCTTAGCTGCAATTTGATTATATTCTCTTTGTGGGACTTTAACTGTATAGTAAATATGTGCAGTACTATTGCAAGTGTCTGACAGCATTTGCATCAGAAATCCTTTGTGGTGAGCTAGACTGGGGCTGGTCCTTAGGTGGCTATGCAGTAGGGAAGATAGGGTTCTCTTAATACAAGTACAGAATTATGGCCTCTGTGCTGCACTGCCGGTCTTCCTGGGAGCAAATCACCCAAAAGCCATCGATCCACCCTCTTTAAGGGCCTGCGGCCAGTCAGGTCTGTTCCTATATCAGCCCCAACTGAGAAGGGGTCAGTTGAGGAGTGTTGCAGGAAAGTTAGCTCCTGTGGCTTGTCCCTAGAGTAGGGAGTAGAGGTTCAAGGGGAAAGGCCTGTGGGCCCCTCCAGCTTGCTTTATTCAGGGGAATAGCTTTGTATGTGTGTGTTTGTGAGTTTTGTATTTGAAGAATAAAATTGTGCCCTGAAGGAAAGTCCTGAATACACTTTTGGGAGTGGTATTAGTTCTTCCTGCACTGGGAAGATAGACAAGCAGTCTACCCACTCCACATCACCCAGCAGAGCTAGGATCATATTGTACTCTCCATAGCACAATTGGGTTCTTCCAGGGAGCAATTCTGCCTCTTTGGAGCAGAATGCCCCTGTGATCACCTGGAATGGTATAGTGCAGCATGCCTCTCACTCCAGGCTTTGATTAAATGGCACAATCTATTCTAGCCCACAATTTGCAGTTCTTTTGTGCATGTAATTATCCACTTCACACCTGCACCTGTGTGTTTGCACATACCACCTTCGAGAGGCACAGTTATGAATATTCAATTTCAAATATCCTGACTTTTGTGGGATTTAGTCTAAAACTTTATTTCACTGGGTATTTTTGTAGTGAATTGAGATGGAAACAAAAGTGATGGCTACTCTATAAAAATTGCCAGCATTCAAACCGTGCAGCACTGACATAATTCAGTATGTGAAATACAAGGAACCAGCATGCCGAATAGCTGTCAAAAGCTATTTTTCTGTTTTGTTTTGTTTTTTAAATTATCTTTCATAAATAAATGCAACAATGTGCAGCTGTGACAACTCTAGGAATTATTCTAGTTTGGCATAAAATGGGGATTTTTTTTTGTCTTGGCTAATTGAAAGGGCACGTTAGATATTTTTGTACAAATAAGTTATCAAGCATCTGGATATTTTCAATGATGAAGTATTAACCTCATTCTCAGGAGTGAAAAAAAATTGCTGTCAGCTTTGAAAGGGACTGTATTTCCTGGGGGGACACACGGAAGCAATATCTTTGATCATTGTTAGATGCAATACTTTGAACCTATAAAATGAAAATCTTTGAACCTGTAGCCAAATTGTTTAGGTTTTTTGTTGTCACGGATGAAGATGAAATACTGAATGTGGGTCATCCCCAATGGTTCAAATAATGGTTTCATGACGATTACTGCAGGCTGCCAAACAAATGCCTTAAGAATTGCCATCTATTTTATTAACTACAATTTGTATATGTACACTGTGAGTTCGTAAACATATATAGTTTTCTATAGTCCATAAATGACTAGGTGACTTTTTTGCTTTTAAGTTTTTGTTTGGTCCTTGCTCATCAAAGAAATACTATACAGAAGTTTTATTTTACTGCTTTTTTAAAATAAAGACTGTTGATATAACATCTCACTATTCGTTGGAAAAAACTAATATTTATCCTCCCTTTATTCTCTTTTGCTATCTCCCTTCCTTTCTGTTTGTTCTCCAAACTGCTGCTTTCACCCCTGCTCCAACAAGCTTGACTTCCAGGTCAGTACCTTCTGCTCTCTTCTGTTACATCACTTGCTGTTCAGCTAAGCTTGATCTTCCCATTGATATAATACATTTCTTAAATGGTTTTTCTCTTACAATTTATTTTTCATCGTTTTCATTATACATTCAGAATTTGTTTTTTCATATGATAATTTTGTTGTCAGAAAGTATTGGAAGGTTACCAGTTGTGTTTCAAGCTCAATCATCATTTTCTAAAGCACTATGTAAAATGATGGGGCTAAAACAATGTTATACATTTCCCATACAACAAACATTCTGGCAGTAGTAGAGCAGCTATGTTAACATTGTAGCTTAAGCCATTTTATTTTAATAAATCACAATGTTTTGAAAAAGTTTTCTAAGAAAAAGTGGTTTAGCCACATATTGAATCCACATGTTGTTTTGTGTGAAGATCTTTTTCTTTTTTAAATTTGTTTTTATTGTTATTAAGGAATTCATCATTTACATACAGTGTCATATACTGGTTCAAACGATGTGAGTAACTGGTACAACTATGAGACCCTTTCCTGAGAAAAGTTTATTTCAACAAATGGGCATTTTTCCAATGAAAAAGCTCTTATCAAAAAATTCCCAACCAGCTCTAGTCAACAATAATAAGAAAATAAGTAATAGACATTTTTTACCACCCATTCCTATACTCCAAGAAAATAATACTTATTTATATCAGCCAATGAATCAAAATAACAGGGACTCTAGAAATAAGCATTATGTGCTTGGTCCTTATTATTAACAGCATGCAATAGAAAATTTGATTTTTTTTTTAATTTATTTTCCATTACTTATCATAGCTGAAGTTGAAGAAAATACTTAGCTGGGAACTGGCTTTATGTGTCACGGTGCTTAGATGCAGAAAGAATTTTTACTGTACTTTTCCAGATGATTTAGCCCTCCTTCAGATGCCTATTTAAGACAGATGAGTTCATGGTGATTGTACTGCAGATGTTTTTTATAACCCTCTCAAAGGAATTCTATAGCTTCTTTCTCAAAAGTTCAGTTAGAGGTGCTTTGAAATCAAATCCTTTGTAAATTCAGGTAGCTCTGCAATTACCTTACTGTACAGTATCCCTATCACATTTACATACAACTAAATTGCCTCTCATATTTTATTCTATAATTTTGTGTTTGCTATTGAAAGTAGACCTGGTTGAAACTCAGAATTTCTGTTCCAGGGGAAATGCTGACATTTTGAAATTTTCCTTTGTCTAGAATTGGAACAAAAATCATAATTTCAAAATTTCCTGTGAAATGAAATTCCAAAAAAAAAAAAAATTAATGTGGGAAATATCAAAATTACCTTTTAAAAATGTTTCATTCTGATAAGGTCAAAGTGTTTTCTTTCAGTTTTTTAACTTAATATAAAGTTGAAATGATAAACAAAACACTTATCGAAATGAAGCACTTTGACCTTTCCAGAGTGAAACGGTTTGATAATTTTTCATTGTCAATTTTGACAAAATTGATTCATTCCTTCTAAACATTTTATTTAGTCAAATCATCATTTTCTGAAAATTTTCAACCACTTCTAGTTGAAAGGGAGTGAGAGTGGTACCACACCCAGGTCTTGCTTTTCTGTACTTAGCAGTGTAGATTCTGGGCTCTTAGCTGTAGAAACTTTGCTGCTTCCCATGAAGTGTTAGATGCTCTAGGAAATCCATAAATCTTCCAAGCATAACACTTACGTTTTAATGTGGAAAAAGTTTTCTATTTGGGCTTCCAGTAAACCATTGTTGCCTTGAGTTATTTCAATATCCTCCAGTTTGCAATAGACGGTTTGGCTAATGAAATTTAGCTCACACTTATTGTCTCTGAAATACACCTGGCAGCTATATTTTCCTTTTCATTCCTGTGGAATGGCTCTTGCCCTTGGAAATGAATGAAGAAGGGCTTCTTAAAAGCCTACTTCAAGTTGAAGGATCCAATGGCTGTGTGGGCTTTTGGTCCCTAGGTGATTGATTATCCCTTCCTTTAAACCTTTCTCCAAGCCTTCATTGTACTAATTGTTGTCCTGGGATGTGGTTTTTTTTATTTTTTGGGGGTCTCCTGACAGTTGTATAAACTACATTCTTGCTCTTAAACTCATCTCTTATTCATAATTTTTCTTAAGGAAAAAGTGGTGCTTCAAGCTCACACAAGGTTTTTGCTAAAAGTGGTCTCTTGACTTCCACATAAACTAGTCCATTTGTCTACTAGTTTTCTTCCCCATACCACATGGCTTATTTGGGCAGCTTTGTTCCATTCACTAAGGCAGGCTTTCAGAAAATATCTAGATAGAACTTCCCTTCCACCCCCCACAAATCATCCAGACTGATGAGCCCATCTCAATGCAGAGGTTTCCCAGGTAGATACTTTTGGGATATACAGGTTTTTCATTCTCAGGCAAGGTTCCAGGTATCGGAAGGCCTGATGTCACATTCAGATAGAGTTATGGCAGAATCTTCAGTCTGCCTTTGTAACATGTCCGTATCTGAAAATTTCAGAAAGCCTACATTTATACTAATTCACACTTTTTACCCCCAAATTATTCTTTGTATATTGAGGCTGGGCCAGATGATCATTTTGGGAGAGATGCTGTATCTTAGCTCCACAACTGAGCACTCAGCCCACTTCCAAGGGGGGTTGCTGCTGCAGATTAGCATCCAAGAGGAGGGAACTATGGATGCAATTTTATGGAGGACAAATATTAACTAGGTTGCAGGCCTCTTAGACCCCAAGTTGTAACCTCAGACAGAAAAGTGTTCAGCACATTCCTAGCCCTACAAGGATGAGCCTGTCACAAATCACTATCTTTCTCACATCAGCCTCTAACTTAGTCTTCTACCTTGGTAGTCTGGATAAATATTGGCAATTTTGAAATCTTTGGAGAAGATACTCATTACTTAAAACTTCACATATAGCATTTTTTCAGTGTTTAAGCTTCGCTTTTATAAATCACTTTCCAACTAACGCTGATTGCATTTCTTTACATATGTAGTTCACTTTTCGTGAAATTTGAATCTCATCATTATCCTGTTCTGTTTGCAGTCAATAGCATTAGTAAACTGGATGAACACTGATTTAGTTTCTTCTTTATTGTATGCATAATATAGACAGCTTCTAGAGAAGATAGGCTGAATAGTAATTAAATCCAAGGATTCAAACAATCATTAAGAAACAATTTATTTGGAAATCATTGGTTGCTTATTATTGGTACACTTGAAAAACGGTAGTTTTCTTTTTTATTCCATCCAGAAATGAATTTGAGATGCTTACTTTGGGATAACCTTTGATGAATTTAATATTTTAATGTTGGTGTTATAGCATTTGTGTCAGCAAATATTCAACATATATTGAAAAGGTCATCTGCAATATAAAAGTTAAAGAAAGAATATCGTGCAATATTATTGCCATGTATTTAATTTTTGTGGTATTTAATGATTTGTGTGTGGAAATATCTGTCCTGTCGTTGTGGGCGTGATTCCTGTTTTGTTATATTGACCTAAAAGAGTAGTTGACCTCATTAAAGAAAACTGTTGTCCTAACTCTGCCAAATTTTGTCCCTCGAGTCTTGGTTAAGGCTACTAGAGTACAATGTGGGTTTATTGACGGATTCCAGTGATTGCATTTAAGTTTCCAGGCTTGTATAATCATTAGTGTCAGAGCTTCACTTAGGAAATGGCTGTATTTAATTATTCAGTTATATTAATCAATGTATTGCTAAGTGTGTTTTTTAATTATTTGTTTTGCTTTATGGTTGTTAGAGAATGTGGTGTCTAAATGATAACATAATGTTCTTCTATGCTGATGGCAGACTAGAGAATACAATCTATTATAGAAATAATTACATGTTTTCAATCTGTTAAATAAAATAAGCCCTAAATACAAGAAACAGCATTTTTGAACTTTTAATGAACCAACTTAATATTTCTCATTTAGGTTACTGTACATTGCAACCCCCTCCTCCATTTCTGTATACAGACAAACTGTAGGATGGTATGTGTTCGCACAGATTTTAATATACTGAGAAATGCAAGAAATTTTCCCACCAGCCTTAGCTGTTGGTCTGCCTAATTGTTTCCATGGGAGGTTAAAGCTCAATGAGATGAGCAAGGCAAGGTCTAAGGGGATTTTAAATTTAACTTAGTAGCCTTCTGCAGTTTTGTCAAATGTCAGTTTGATGGTTCCAAGGGCAGTGTGTTATGTTGTTCAAAGATAATTTCCTTGGAGAAAATGAGATAGTTATACTAATGAGCACTGAGAGAATCCTTGATACATTGTCCTTTTCAGAAAGACTGCTTAGTCTTGGGGAGAATCATAGTTGTAATATTTATTGGGTAATTGACAGAGTGTTGTCATCTTTTTCTGTTATGGTGTGTTACTAAATAAGACTGCCTTTTAAAAATATTTAAAGATTTGATAAAAGAAGATGCTTCACTCTTATCTGTTATATATATATATATTCACAATCAAAACGTTTTGGTAAAAAAAGAATTAAAGTCAAAAGTATGTTTCAGTGGAGTCCAATTAACATATAAAAGTCACTATTACACTTTCTTTACAAAAATTCTGAATCTTTAACAAAAATCAACAAACAGAATAAATGGAGATGAACAATTAAAAGATCCAGTCTGTTCCTCTCTGCAATATAATCCTTCATTGCTCACTATTATCCCACCCATTTGACCCTACCCACATTTTACTTTGCCTCCTATAATGTGCTAAACTTATATGCAAAGGTCAAAATAACAATTTACTAGGAGATAATTAGAAATTGATCCCTGATCAAGAAAGGAGAATTTATAATCTCCTAATAATTTATTATTTTGACATGTAAATTTTAGGGGGCAAAGTTGAGTGTGGGAGGGCAGCATAAATTGGGTGGGGTGAGAGAGAGTTCTCTAATCCTCTGAGTACAAAAATATATGCTTTGGTTTTGAATGCACTTGGCTCTCCACTGATATGCTATGGAAGCAGGGCCACAAGAAACTGTTCTCCCTTTC